ATGGAGTATGTATAATAAAAGCTCACTCTTAATTAAAAAACAAACAAGTGAGCCTTGGGCAGATTTCTCCAGTGAACAACATGTTTGTGTACTATAGACACACTCTAACTGCCCTCTAGAAAATTCCAATGGGGTTTTGATAGAAGCCACATCCCCATATATTGTGAGTCAAACGAAGGATTCCAAAGTGAGCTGCCTGGATGAACAGCACCTTGTGTCACCTGGGAACTTGTTAGAATAATTCTGCAGAGATTCAAAGCTTTGAGTTTTTCAGAACTACTGATTCAGAAACTCCAGGGATGGGCTCAGAAAAGTACATTTTCACAAGGCCATCTGCTGACGTTATATACACTGTTGGACTGGCTCAAGGTTAGGAAGGACTGAACTATATATACATTAGAGCCCACAGAAGAGGACACGGTGCTTGCTCCTACTGTCACTGACTTCAGTCCAAGTTGATAGACAATTGTCAACAGGAACTGCTGTAATCAGTGGTTCTCAACCTTCCTAATGCTGCAACCCCTTAACACAGCTCCTCATAAGATTATTTTCATTGCTACTTCATAACTATAATTTTGCTACTGCTATGAATTGTAATTTATTTATCTGATATGCAAGATATCTGATATGTGACTCCTATGAAAGGATCATTTGACCTTCACAGGGGTCACGACCCACAGGTTGAGAACCTTGCTTTAAAGTGACGTAGCTTCTGATGACAGCTCAAGACACTACCAGGGAAAGCATCATAAAAGCACAGATAGTTCCTTCATTTTCCTTTTTTCTTCACTCCCTTCTGTCCACCCCTATTTCAAAATTTCTCAGTTGCTTTCTCTGCTTCGTAAATTCCAAATAAAACAGTGCTTCTGAAGATAATGCAAGGCATATTTATGCGTTTTACAATGGTCCATGTCTTTCTGAAGACTTTAATGTAGCTTATGTTCAATTTTTTACAGCTCTCTCCTATAAAGTTTAATCTACTGGGAAATTGTGTGTCAGTTTAGAGGCCTCTAATGACCACCCCCTAAATTAACAACCAGTTTTTTAGAAGAAACCATAGGAGGTACTTTCACAGAAAATTATAGCTAACATTTACAACCTTCCAAGAAGCTGTCCAAAGACAGCAAATACACTCAATTTAAGAATGTAAAAAATATATTAAAACATATAACATGAGATTACACTAAAATGAAACACTATTCACAAAGCATGTTAACACAGTGCTATTTATTACAGAACTGATATTATTGCAGGAGAAAAGATCCCTTCTCCGAGTAATGGGATGGAGAGCTAATGGCAATATAAAATTTTATAAAGAAATCTTCATTTCCCTCTTATGCTCATTTGTGATATTGGGACATAAAGAGACCCCCGTTTTTTCCTTGAAAAACTTAAATCTACATTAAAATTTGAATAGTTCAACAGGACTTACTAGCTATAAACATAAGGATTACTTTGTAACCTAAGAGAAACAGTGCCAATAACCCTCCTTCCCCCCACACACCATTCTTTGAGAACTCTCTTGCTTCTGCTGCATTAGTGCTTCATTTTATAGTAGTTTCTGTTGGACTAAAAAACTCATTGCCTTCCATGAGAAGCCTAGATCATCTGGAGATGGCTCTTGCATGGTTGTGTATTTACCAGGCTGGCCTGGGGGATGAGTGAGGGCAGAGCAGGCCTCACCTCCTCTTGGGTTATCTGACAGCCTTCACTCATGCTTTAGCCCCTCTGATCAGTAGTTCTGAGCGAGTTCAGGGATTTGGGCTTCTGCTAGATTATTCTAGTGTGTAGCACCAAGTCTACATGACCGAGGTCACTGGCTCACTAGAGTCACCTCATATTGTGTCCACAGTTGCAGCTGTGGTTCAGAGGGGACCATTACTTTTGTAGCCACACAAGATATGATCATTTGCCTGAGGCATCCGTTGTTAGTGTGTGGACCTTCTGCCAAAACCAGGCACTGGTCCAGTTGGTCCATGCTGTTGTGCATTCATTAAATTTAGACTTGCCAACTTCATCAGCTCATTATATGAGCTCAGATTTATACTGGTCCTAAAGCCCTAAAAGTGGAACGCACACTTGACCTACTATGAAGCAGTCTCTCTCAGATCCTCAATAAAGCACCTGGAATTCCCACACTGACCTGGGCCATGATCTGGGACATAGTGTCTGAAAGCAACTAGACATGATCCATTCTCAGGGTCCTTTCACAACTGCCCCTGCCTCTGGGACCACTCAGCAGCGGGCCCAGAGAACCCAGGGATTTTCCAACAGTGAGAAAGTACACACCACAATTTAAAATCACCCTCAGCATGGCCTACACAAAGGAAGTCTTTTCAGGCATTCCATTCCAATCGAGCACTGGCTCATCAACCTGAGAGATCTGCTTCAATAAAGGAAGCAGATACTTTAGGACATGTAGGGTCTCTTACCGACTCATCTTAATGCTGTGCAGATCATCCTTCTGGTCCTGAATTATGTGACATCTGAGGGACGATGGTGATCAAAGCCATGCTTAAGGCCTTCCCTTCCTATACCCACCTACACTCAACAAAGTATTTCTGTACTAAATCATTTAGCTAGCAACAAAAGGCATATGCATCTGATAATCATTAAGGAAGTGTTTTCTTGATTTACTGTATCTGTATGATTTTTTTATGTGAAGGGAATAACCAAGCATTTTGTGCAGTCCTTAAGATGGAACCCAAGGTCTCAAACATGCCAAACAAGCCCTCTATACTGAACCACACCCTAGTCCAGTGTTGAGGACAGAATCCAAGGTCTCAAACATGCTACACAAGACCCCTACCACTGAACCACACCCCAACCGATCTCCAAGCACTTCTTACCCTACATCAAGTAGACACAACAATTCAGATTTCAAGTTTAAGTAATTAATGAGCAGTTTCCAGCACGCCTTTGGCATGTGCCATGATTTGGCATGTGTCTGGAGACCTTTAGCCATGTGCAGCTGATGTGCACATGCACTCCACACGTGTGTCTTTCTAGGAATTAATAAAGAAGGCATGTAAGCTAGCTTGGTTTTATAGTTTTCCTCCCTGTCTGATTTTTGCCTCTGTGATTTTTTTGCCTACTCAGCAAATCCAAAGGTATAATCAATTATTTAAAAATAGTTCAGAGGCCAAGAAAGTACAATAGCATCCTAGGGAAACAGACATAAAACATAAAAGTAAGGAGAATAAGCTTTGCACTTTTAAGCTACCTGGAGAGATAAAATCCCAGGGAAAGATGGTAGGGTGGCTACCTGCTTCACCAAGTCGTTTCAGAGGCAGAAAATGCCTGCCAACTGGAAGATGCTATGTGGACAGCTGTGGTGGAAACTTCTGCTTCCTTGCCTGGTGTTATAGCTCTTCTGCCACAGCTGGAGGCTCAAAGGCAAGAGCTCAAGATCTCTTTGAGAACCAAGTATAGAAAAGCATCAAAAGTAAGAAAGTGGAACTCTATTGACATGGCAAAGCCATTTAAAACTAGAAAGTTGAAAATTCTGAAACTTTAAAAATTTTCCCTGACATGTGAAAATGCACACCCAGACTAACACAAGAGTGTTGAAAATGAATCGTATTTTTTATGTATACAACACAGACAACCTTTTCCATAGCAGCAGGTGTTATAGTGTCCAAGATTTGGGACAAGACTGGCCAATCCCTGAAAACTATTACTATTGTATGTTGGTCTTCTCAGTCACCTCTGATTAGCTTTGATCTTAACCTCTGAGTTCCAGATCACTGCCTGAAAAAGTAGAAGGATGTTTTATAGGTTGTTTAAACCTTATTGTTAATTCATTTAGTGTGTTAGAATGAATGTTCGTGTGTTGGCAATTTGCAAACCAACAGCTCCTATGTAAACAAAAGCTATCCATGTCTAGTACAACAGTTTTCAGTATGTGTTGGTAGTGTTATACAGTAGCCATGCACATTTGATGAAGCATCTATTTATCTCTTTAAGATTCGGTTAGCCATTCAAATCAGTTTTAATCTGTCTGAATCTGGAAAAAAATGAGGCTATGTTGTTTCAAAGACTAAGTCCCCAAGCAACTGCTAAAGTTTCCTTGATGCTGGCCCACTGTGATTAAGAATGTCTTGATGACTGATGTTCTTGAAATGACTGCTTGATGCCCTTTTCTCCTGTGCTGGATCATCTTGAGAACTGTCAAGCTTAAAAAGCCACACAAGCATGTCTTTCTCCCATTCCACTGTAATGCATCAGTAAATTCTTCATTCTCTATGGCTTATTAGTCCTTCTCAAAAAAAATAGCATGCTGCCAACCTAGATATGGAATCGGATGCAAATGGGAGTGAGATCTGCAAGTCACTGAAAATGGAAAAGTCTCATTGTCTGGAATGTGGTGCTGGTTTGACTTGTTTTCAGATGGCTTGCAGCGAGAGCTTTCTGTGTGTAAAGTAATAAAACTAGCTATGCTTGCTCAAGTACTCCACCACCATAGAGACCTGAAAATGCACCTAAACTGCAAGCTAATGCAATCAAAGAAAAGTAATGAGCTCTTTCCTTTTTCATTGCAACCTGCAATTTTGTGAATATAGGGGCACCTATGATTCAATCCGAGGTAGACGAAAGATCTAGAGTGTCCTCCCTTCTTTGCCCTTTGTTTTAGGCACATTAATGGATATTCTTACAAGTTGGTTTACCAATATGAAAGTTTCTGTAGCAACCTGGGGCTTCCACATAAAACAGAAAGATGATAAAGTCTATTCCATTTAGAATCCACATGCAGTCTGCTGCCTGCTTCAGGGCCAATCATTTCCTTTGCATCTAAATCAGTTTAAGATTCCTGGGAGGGGTTAGAGCATCAAACTTCTGACAGGAGCCCAGAACTAGATGGACTAACGTGTTATTTGAGGAAAAGGAAGGTCTGCTGTGTCAAGCTGGCACAGGAGAACAACTTCAGACTACTGACACAGCGAGTGCAGACGATCACTGGTGAATTCTCAGGTGAACAAGAGTTGCTGTTGCATGCTTACCTGGATAGAGTTCGGCTGCAGGCCCTGGCCCTGGAGAGCATCCTACAGCGCCATCAGCAGCAGCATCTCTGGGGGAAGTGGCTGGCTGCAGGGGCTGCACGGCAAGGCAGTCCGTGAGGAGATCTGGATGGAGCTCAGTGCTAGACCGTAGCTGAAAGGAGAAAAAAGAATAGAGATGAGAAAGGCTGGTCCTTAGAACACCTGTCTGGAAAGGCCTCATGCCCCCAAAGGTTGATGTGATACAATCCACAAATGTTTATCAGGCAGCCCTGGAGAGAAAGGCATGAGTGTAACAGCATCAACAGAAGGGTCAGTTCTCCAGCCCCACAATGCCTGGCAGGTGCCTCAGGAAACGTGGCTGCAGACCTTGATAGCTGCACTTCTGAGAACCCAACTTCCTATTATAGTTCCATTTATTTGCTCCCTCAGTATCTAATCGGAAGTCACAGTGATGGCAAAAACAAACTCAAACAGACTTTGTCCACATTTTAAGGACAGAGATACTAGCACAAAAAAGATATCAGGAGAAAACTCAGTAATCTCCACTGAGGTTTGATGCTTAGAAAAAAATGTTTTTTGATGCTTAGAAATATTACATGAGAGCAACATACTCAGGATGAAGTTTAAATACAGAACATGATTAAATGAAACTACTAACAACAAACCCCAATACTATGTCACACAAAAAATAGGAATTTCTTCATTTAGTCACACACAATTAATTTTACATGTGAGTCACATGTAAATATTAACCCAAAGTATATTTAAAATGTAGCATAAGTGAAAATTTACCTGATTAATTTTATTACATGTGGGTGTTTATTTGTGCAAGTGTTTGTATATGTATGTGTGTGGGTATGAATGAGAACATGTATATGTGTCTGTGTGTGAATGTGTGCATGTGTTTATGTGTTTGTGTGTAGGTGTATGTCTAGGCATGCATGTAAGCTGAAGAAAAAAGCCTTGGTGTCATCTTCAGGGTACCATCAACCGCCTCTAAACAGGGGCTCATTGGCTCATAGTTCACCAACTAGACTGGATTGGCTGACCACTGACCCCAGGAACCCTACTATACCCACTCCATCACTACAATTCTAAGTGTTTATGTGGCTGCTGGGGGTTGAGCTCAAGTCCTCAATGCTTGCAAAACATTCAGTCACCTACAACCCCAATATCTTTACAAACATAAATTTTATAAATGTAACGTGAATGAAAAATTACAATGGAACATTTGGTGACATAAAAATATTAACCTAATTGTGTTAAAAACATAGTATCTAAAAAGTCTAAAATATTTTTCTTAGAAATACATAAAAGCTTATCTTAAGTATTTAAAAACTGCTTATAAAGACAACATTATGCCTTAAGATATAGGGCCAGAGCATTCTTAAGCCTTTGACAAATTCCACATGACCCTCCTGACTCTAGAAGTATTCACTGTTTTTTATGGAACTTTGACTTTTTGTGGGAAGATGATGAACAATTATAAAATGGGCAATGCTAAGCATTAGAAAAAGTGATGTACAGGAAGGAGGTCATGACGGCGTGTAGGGTGGGGGTGGGGCTAGTTTGGGATAGTGATCAGTGACCACATCTTGGGGCTGAAATTGGTAACGAGCCAGAGACGAACTGAAGCAGGGTGTCCTACAGAGTGGGAGCTGGAGGCTGGGGTAGCCTGCCTGCATTGCTACGTGTCTAAATGACCAGTAGAGTGGTATGGCTGGCACAGGGGGAGCAAGAAGCCCAGGGAGCAGAGATAGAAGATGTAAAAGGGACTGGGAAAAAACAGTGAATGAAGTCTTGGCATGGGCAACTTCTACAAACTGAAGCTGCTTCACCTGGAGAGAAGGTGGACAAGGAGATCTAAAGATGCTAATGCAAGCCGGGCGTTGGGTGCATACCTTTAATCCCAGCATTGGGAGGCAGAGGCAGGCAGATCTCTGTGAGTTCAAGGCCAGCCTGGTCTACAGAGTGAGTTCCAGGACAGCCTCCAAAACAATACAGAGAAATCCTGTCTCGAAAAACCAAGAAAAAAAAAAGATGCTAATGTATACACAACAAAAATTACAGAGAGGAGGCCATGAATTCAAGGGGGCAGGTAAAGCGGACATAGGCAGAGTTGGGGGTGGAAATGATGAAAATATAGTACTCATGCATAACTTCTCAAAGTTTTAAAAATGATAACACACATATGGCAACTGTATGGCTGATAACCCTAAGGGGACAGTGGTAGTAATCAAGTTGTCTTATTGGACTTAGGACACACTCAATAAGGAAACATGCCTATTGGAGGAGAACCCACAACCGCCACTTTACTAAGCCAGCATAATCCCTAACAACAACCTAAAGATATGCCTTTACACCTACAGGTATGTATAGTCCTCATGTCTCCTCAAAGAAACTTCTCTTTACCACAGACACAGAAAACCAGAACCAACCAAACTGCACTTGTGGAGCCCAGTCCCAAAGGGTCCATCTATGGAACATCCTGACATCTAAGGCTCAGGGGACACTACAGAAGAGGGAACAGAGAGTGCCAGGATCAGGGAGTCTGCTGTGAGACTGCTTCCTTTTAAAACCAGATTCTATACCCATCAAGTCTCACCATGACCATCTAAACGTGAACTGAACAAGGAAAACAACAATAACATAAGCCAAAGTAGGTGGGGGAAATCCCGAGGCTTCAACCCACACAAAGAGTGACAGGCAACTAAGGACAGGAGAAAAGGCGCAACAGTCTTCCCCGGGAAGGGCGTGCCAGCCAGTTATTGATACCAATGGGCAGCTCTGAAAACATACATTTGAGTAACATTATGCAGACTGTGCGGGGTCCATTTAAGAATATATATGTATATTGTTGATGTAACAGTAATTAATAAAAAAGAGGTCATAAATTTGTAAAAAGAGCAAAGAAGAGTATATGGGAAGGTTTGGAGGGAGGAAAAGGAAAGAAGAAATGATGTAATTATAACCTCCAAAGATAGATTTTTGGAAATGTTTAAGCAGCTTTTCATCAAGTACTTTGTTTTCCAATAAAGTAAGTATAACGTTTAAAAAAGTATTCACTGCACTTGCCAAGAAGGACCTTAACCCTGCCTTGTCAGAGGCTGGAGAAATGGCTCCGTGATTAAGAGTGCTTGCAATTGTCTGCGAGCAACAAGTACACATGTGGTATATATGCACACATGCAGACAAAATACTCATACATGCTAAGACAACTGAAATTTAAAAATGATTTATCAGTTCATCAAAACTTTCATAAAAGTATCTATGGTAGTGATGTCACAGGTAGAAATTCATATGATTTTTAGTAGGTGACTATCTTGGTGCAAAATTTGTAGTAGGCATCAGGGAATACTTTTTAAGATCCATAATCAAAACAATTTGATTCTGGAATCTATCCTAAGGAAATATCCAGTAATATGAAGGACACTGGATACCCAAAGACCTATGTATGCACTCTCTTAATGATATACAGCATGATTTATAGCAATACCCCAAATTACAAAATTCTCTTAAATATTCATAATAAGGACAATTAGAAAATCATACATTAGGTAACTGGAATACTATGTTCATAATGATGGCAAAACAAAATTTTATACAAAAGATGTTACAAATAGCAGACAGCCCAGATGAAATGAAATCTTTTCTCTGTTTTCCAAAATATTCTACAGTCCAAGAGTGAACAAGAACTGCCACATAGAAATTGAAAAGTGCATGTGTGTGTGCCTCATTTCCACAGCCAGCCCTTACAGTGATGCCACACAGATGGCTGGAAACTGGCCCTGGTGAAAATACTTACACTATGGAGACATGCAACTGCTCTACACTAAGGCTTCTTATCCGTAGTTCCGGCTGCTAAGTATCACGAGAACACGACCGATAGAGGTAATGAACTGTACCCTGATCAAACACAAGGACAGTCTGCCTCAGAAGGAATATTGCTCCTCACAAGTTCATGAGTTCAGAGCTATGTTCCTGGTGCAAAGAGGAGGAGATCTGGAGTAATCATTCAAAGGTGGGCCTAGTGGGAGTTGGTTAGACCATGGACGGTGACGCCCTCAGGAGGGACGGAGGTAGATCCTGTGTGACCCCAAGTTAATGCTCAAGAGAATGACGGGGAGCCTCACCCTTGAATCACTCTGTGGATGCTGTCTACTCTTTAACTTGTGCTTCCACTATGACATCATCTATGTGGCAGCCATAGGGACCCTCACTTGGCTACTACAGTCTTTGAACTTTAAGGCCCCCAAACCAGCCAACTGAACCTTTTTCTTATAAGGTGCCTGGCCTTAGATTAGTTCATATAGCAATGACAAAATAAGGACGCATGCACAAAAACAAACAACAACAAAAGAAATGGCACTTCTTGGATCTCAAATGAGATTAAGCCTATACCTTAGATAAGAAAATGAAAACAGCAGAGGAAACTAGGTAACAGAACAGCCATTTAGCTCACATAGCAACGAGAGCATTAACACTTCCTCAGCTACAGAACACTGAACCTTCTGATCAGGACTGCCTATGTTATTCCTAGCCCTCTTAGAGCCTGTGGAAGATATGTTTGTTATTTTCTTATGAATCAATACACGTTGCTGAAGAAAACCTGGGGCGGGAAAAATCAAGGTTTAGAATGAGTTCTGGTGATCACTTTTAATTTATCATCCATCATTAAAATGTATCTGGGGTGCACATGTTCTACTAAGGGCAGAAATGAATGCTTCTCTGCTTTGGATTACCCACCACTCTAGGGTTTTCCAGTTATCAGTACCAGCAAGATCATTCCAAGGAATTTCATGGCCATGGCTAATCCTGGCATCAAACACAGGCGGTTCTTCTCTAGCTTCAACAGGCATTCATGTGGTCCAGCAGCATGATTCTATACGACTTTGTGGCGAGAGCTAATTCAGTTTTCTCTAGGATTAGGCATGGTTCTTAAAAATGCTTCTTAAATTAAACAAGCCTTAGAACCTTCTGCAGAAATTTCAGAGGAAAGCTACACATGAATACCAAGTCATGAGATGGGAGTCGTGTATCCATCTAAGACCAAGAGACTAGGAGAGGGTCTTCCAGGTTGAAATGAGTGAGGCAGAAGGCAAAGTCGAATCCTCTGGAGGGGCATCTTTCAATACACAGTTTTAGGCTGGG